TTTAATCGCGGCAGATAATGAAGAGATAATAGAGAAACTTTTAACGAACTTGGAGAAAGAGTTTGAGGTTAAAAAAGGAAACTTAGATTATTTCCTAGGTATGCAGGTAAATATAATGAAAAATGGTTCATTATTTGTGCATCAGACAAATTATGCACGTAGCATAATTAATAAATTTAATATGCTGGACGCCAAGGAACTTTCAATACCAATAGACAAATCACATACACTTGAACAAAAAGAAGATACGGAAATATTGAATGAAGATATTCCTTATAGGCAGGCAGTAGGTAGCTTACTGTTTTTATCACATTTAACGAGACCAGATATAGCATATGCAGTAAACTTTGCTAGTCGTTACTTAGCAAAACCAACTAAAGCTCATTGGAACTTGGTAAAACGGATTATACGATATATCAAGCGAACATTTAATTATGGCTTGTACTTTAATAACAAAATAAAATTGTCATTAGAAATATTTAGCGATGCAGATTACGCAGGTGACATTCAGACACGACGTTCGACGTCAGGATTTCTATTCAGGTACGGGTCAAGCATAATTTCATGGACATCGCAGAGACAACATTGTGTGTCGTTATCATCGACAGAGGCTGAATATATTTCGGCCAGTGAAGCTGTCAAAGGGATCTTGGGGATTACACGGTTGATAACAAGCTTATCAACAACAGGTGACAAACAACCAGTTTTATTTATAGATAATCAGAGTGCTATACGTTTAGTTAAGAATCCGGAGTTTCATAAGAGGACAAAACATATAGACGTACGGTACCACTTCATACGGGAGAAATACGAAGAGGGACAATTCCAACTACAGTACATTGGAACAGAGGACCAGATTGCGGACATTCTAACCAAGCCTTTGGTTAAGGAACGATTCGAGAAGTTGCGGTCAGCCATAGGAGTGACTACAATTAAAGAGATTATTAATTGAGGGAGGGTGTTGAAATATACAATTAATATGTAGTACATGTAGTCAGCCTTGACACGTGTGTACAATATAGTAACTAGTTATGTACGAGCATAAGACTCACTCTCTCACGGATGTAACATGACCTCGGTCGTGCATATATATAGGGCCTTTGATGTATGTAATATTCACTTGCACAGACGCTGTCATACCGAGTGTACGCGGTGTGTGTGTATAGTCACAGTTTAATTGTCCAGTTGTACGTTATTATATATTATACTTATACATAATCATATTGTCGTGTTATTACTTATTATATTAATGCTAACATCATTAGTCCGTCAAGCTTCACTTTCAACACATATCATATTTGTTTGTATGTATATAGTTTGAATTTTTCGTAAATTATTTCGTAAGTTGTGTGATAGGGTTTTCACTTATAGCCGCTTGATGTCGGGTCTGCAATCCACCGCAGGTGGATTGCCTACCTGATTTGCTGTAGCACATAGTCCGCGATCCGACGAAGTCGGATTGCCTACCTAAGTGGCTAACTCGAAAGTTAATAGATTTTGATTTGAGATGACTGACTTGCTAGAAACTCCAACACGGTTTTCGACTTTACACTTTTTACATAAGATAAAGCACCGGGCATGCTACGGCACATACCACTCTATGTGCAGGTATACTCTATATAGGTGATCCTGGAGATCGTATCCAGCCTATCCATTTACAACGTTTGTGACGGATTGCTAGACACTCAAACTTTTAACATTCCCGCCAAAGCGTCTAGCCTTATCTCCAATCCATATCACTAATCCTTATCACAAATCCTAAACTTTCGTCTTACAACCTTTGCGACTTTTATAATTCATTGTCTCCAAAATCGGTACCCACTCTCAGCGATTCCAACGGGCCCCGAGTTATACTTAGAGCTAGTAAATAATATGAGTAAAACTCCGTGTTCGTGTGATGGAATTATCTTATCAGTACCTATGTTATCAGTGAATAATCCGGTGTTGTGTGTTTATTTTTAGAATTAATGCAATAAATTGTATTATTTGTACACGGTAGGTATATAATATTATTATTGGGTATGAACTAAACAAAAGTAACATACGATATTATGGTCTTGCAAGTCGTAACTGCAAAAATCGTCGTTTAAAACGCAGCGAACGTAGGCGTTTAAGTCTATGTCCGGATATGAACACGGCAAGCGGAAATACAAATTTCGTATTAATATTGAACACGAAACGCGTAAAGGTGGAAATGGCGTGTATAATAATATACCTAGTAATAAACAATATCGTGTGTACGGAAACGGATCGTACACAAATGAAAGAAGATGAATCCAGCTCGTGTACGTACAATGTCGTGAATAAGCCAGTAGGTACGCGGGCCATACAAACGTTATACTATTATGTATTTCAAAATTGTACTCACCGGTTTTGAAAAGCGCCCTACGCAGAACACGATACGCCAAGAAAATCTAAGAAAGCTAAAAGCCTAATAATAGTAATAATATATTATATATTATAAATATGATTTTCTGTGCGCTTTGGTTGTGCGTTCCACGGGCGTTCGTCACAAGATGACATTCGAAAACGCAGGCGCGTTTCGCGTCGCAAAAGTTGTCCCCCGCACGTCGTCAACACTCCGACGAACAACCCGTATCAATGAATAATGGTCATACTGTAGCATTGCGTGTATCGTTGATATTATCGTGATTATTGACTGTCCGACACGCATAAATGATAAATGCCATAAAATATAATCGTATGTATTCCAATATAATCCAGGCCATGTTAAACAATACTCATATATAATATATAGTCCTATCATTATGCAATTTAATTATTGCCAGGCTCGTTAATTGATTCGGATTATATAGATCGGGAAGCGGACTACCGGCTCCGCGGCCCTAGGACATATAAAACGCGAGAATTGCAAAAAAAAATCGAACCTCGAGACGCATGTATTTATGCCTGTATATAGCGATACGTAATCGGTACCTACTCTCTTTTCCGCGACGCCGCTCCAACCCGGGACTCGTTTTTGAAGAAGTAGGGCCGCGCGCCGGTTATAAATTTAGCGGGGAACGCGAATAAGTCGTCGACGGGGCTAAAACTCGAATTTTCGAAAAAAAGGCAAAAAGAGCAGTCATAATATAGTCGTACTACTTAACTGCCAGAGTTTAATCAGTTTTTTTTAGATCTATTAGTTTTAAATATCGTATTAAACAATATTTAACCAAATCGGAATCACTTAAAAACCGTAATATATCAAGTAGGTACTACAATATATGTCATATAGGTTAGTTATATTATATTGTATTTATAAAAGAAACTTATTTACATATAGGTGCGTTGGTCAGGGTAAAATCAAGTATTAATTAAATGCTAATTATAAAATAAATATAGTTAAGCGAATTATAATATATACAAATACCGATATGTTTAATATAATAACGCGAATTTTGAAAAAAAATTGCAACACTTACGTTAAAAATAATTAATGTGACGAAAAAAATAATTACATTTATCACCGCCGCCGCAAATTATCGATTTTCGGGCGGCGGGTTCGAAACCACGACCCTCGAGTCACCTATCCTAACGCCTAACCAACCTAGCCACCTACTGAGATGAAATTCTTAGTCAAATGTATGACTCTTAAGCCGCGTCACCGTGCTCGCGAAAAGCGAACGCCGTCTGGACGGCCGGCAAAGGGCGTTTGAGCGGGCGATCCGACCGCGTCGCCGAGCAGACGACCGGCTCCGCCGCCCTCGGACGTATAATACCCGAGCTTTGCGAAAAAAATCGAACCTCGAGACTCACTTATTTATGCCTGTATATAGCGGTACCTACTCGATAACCAATCGGTACCTACTCTCGTTTAAGCGACGCCGGTCCTCCCCGGGACTCGTTTTTGAAATAGTAGGGCAGCGCGCCGGTTATAAATTTAGCGGGGAACTCGAATAAGATCCAAACGGGGAGGTCGATACGCCCCAAAACGCCTAAAACTCGAATTTTCGAAAAAAACGGCAAAAAACGCGGGCGACGGCGGCGCTCGGTTCGCACGTGATATCCGCCGCGGAGGGCCCGCAGAGAAAAAAGTACGGCGGACTTATAATAGTAAATTTAGCGAGGAATGCGAATAAGGTCCAAACGGGGCCGCCCGAGGACCCGAGGGGAGTAAAAGTCGAAAATTTTGAAAAAAAAATCGTGAAAAGTGATAAGGAGGAGTGATAACGCAGCGGCGGCTACGCAAAAAACGACGCGACGCATGTATTTATGCCTGTATATAGCGATACATACACGGTACCTACTCACGTTTCCGTTCACGTTTAACCTCCCCCAGTGGCGCATTTAAGGGGGGGCAACTGGGGCGAATGCCCGGGGCGCCAAATTTTAGGGGGCGGAAAAATTTTTATAGTTTACCACTACATAAGATTGAAATCTTTCCATTCTGTCTGATATAATTATTATTCAAAATACAAAGTATAATAAAGATTATAATTAAACATAGACCTAAATACTCATAACTAATAAGGTCTATTGTCTAATATGATTATAAACGGTTTTCATACGGGTCTATGAGCGGCACGGGATTGCGACAATCACAGATATAAATATCTATGATTTATATTTATATTTATGACCTGTGGCGGCATTACGTTTTATCAGTCAATACAGGTTAAAAATAACATAATATTATTATTATCCATAAATATTTTCCCGATCGTCGACTGCCGATCGTCGCCGACTACTTTTATTTTATTTTTGTCAATCTTTGACTCTCTTGTGTAGTTGTGTAATAAATTGACTACGCATTAACGCGCATTACTACGCGTACGTAATTTAGTCTTTAGTTTTTAATGTTTATAATTCGTTCTACTTTCAAAATTAGTATTCAGTTGTCCAGTATTCCTTCTATAAACTACGGCTTTAGACATACTAACTGGTATTTGGTAAGTACAATATTATACGTTTATCTATGATCTTTACGTGATTAAGTATTATAAATTATATATTTTATATTACTATATTCCGTAATAGATTATACGTGGATTTTCAATATGGGAGCTAATAAAAAGCTTAGTGGTTCAGGATATAGAAAGCAAGCAAAATTAAAACAATTAAAACATGTTGAATTAATTAAGACTTGTAGAAAATTAGATGGTTTATTCAAGCCATCAACTATTCCAAGTAAGTACTATAAGTAGTTTTTATTAAAGTACAAATAATAACTGGGTGTTTCAAATTTTCAAATTTCAAAATTATTTACAATGCATCTTATTTTATATTTAACTATTTAAAATACCTACCTACCTGTTTTGAAAAAATGCCAAACTCGCATTTTTATATTAACCTTTAATATTGGACCATTACAATATTGTTCCTAGCATGGACTATCTGACTATAGCTAGTATCTTATAAGTTATATAGGTAACTTAAAACTATTGACATTTATAATGATCCAATATTTGTATTTAATTAACTAGTTGAAGTTATTTAGTCAATTAAAACTAATAAACTTCTAAACTAATATTTTGAATTTTTATTATTATAATAAATTTGGATAATAATATTAAATTGAACCTCGATGATTTAGAGATATAAACCTAACTACACAAATAAATCTTTGGCGTATAGTATAAATGTCTTAAGTCAAAACGACTAGTTTTCAGGAAGATTAATCAAAACATTGAAAAATCATTCAAAATCGTAGACAATAGTGTCTGGGCTGATAATTAATTTAATTTAATATTCAATGTACCAACTTTCATGGTTTAACTATAAAGTGGAACTTTAAAATCAATTCTTCATTACTTTTAAGTGACTTAAGATAGTTGGATTTTTATTTTATATGACTTACACTATCCGGGGCATTCATTTAAAATTATTACTAAACTTGACTCAAGATATTAAGACCATTTTAAAATTAGATTCTCTCTAAAGATAGATTTTCAATTCTTAACTAGTGTTTTGTACCCAATATAATGTGACTTAAAATGTTAAGACCAAAAAAAATTTCACAAATAGTGAGTTATAGTTTTGACTTAGGTACGTGATCTGTACCAACAAAATATTCAAATATAAAATGTTTGATTCTAATAATACTATAAGCCAAAAATTTCAATTTTTTACTCAAGTCATTTATACCATACGCTAAAGAAATATGTACCTGAATCATTCAAATGTAAGCAGTTCTGGACAGCGTGACTACAAAAATTAGTAGAAATATTGAGACAGAAATTAAACTAAAAATATATTTATTTTATATTTGAAATTAATTAATTGTATTTTATTGTTTAATAGATACAGATGATAAACTAGAGATATTAAACCAAGGTAAGCAAATACAAATGAACCCGGATTATTCAAATGTAAATAATTCTGAACAGCATGAACCTACACAAATTAGTGGAAATATTGAGACAGAAAGTAAAATAAAAATGTGCTTAGCTATTTTATATTTGAAATTAATTAATTGTATTTTATTGTTTAATAGATACAGATGATAAACTAGAGATATTAAACCAAGGTACACAAATACAAATGAACCCGGATTATTTAAATGTAAATAATTCTGAACAGCATGAACCTACACAAATTAGTGGAAATATTGAGACAGAAAGTAAATTAAAAATGTGCTTAGCTATTTTATATTTGCAATTAATTAATTGTATTTTATTGTTTAATAGATAGTGTTTCTGAGATAAATACTGATATATTGTTATCTAAGAATAATGAAGTTATTGCTGATGTTTTGTTTGAGCTTGAGCCTAATGATAATCCTGGGTAAATAATTGTATGTTAATATTTGAATAATTACTTGTAAGATACCTAGGTACCTATATTATTTTAATATTTTTAATATAAATATTAACACAAATACTATTCTAATATTTATTGTGTACTCATTTAGTAGATGTTATGAAATAGTTATACAGGAATTAAGTGATTAAAAAAAAATTACTATTAGTTTTCTTTTAAAATAACCATGTTCAGTGCTTGTAGTGTCTTCATAATGCTTTTACATACCAGTCACTTATATTAGTACTTATAGATTAATTAAATCAATTAAAATATAATAGTCATTATTTCTTATAGATGTGATCCTGCTTTATGGAAAATAAACGAGTTAACTATAGAATATATTTGTGTAAACGGATTTTCTCAAGATTTAAATGATTTAAATTTTACCAAGTCTAAGCGAGCATATACAAAAGTTCACAAAGGATCTACTAAAACCTACTATAGGTAAAAATTTAAGTTTTAGTAACTTATAGTATTATAATATTGTAATAACACAACCTTATTTTGTATATAATTTTAAGGTTTTGCAATAAAAACTATTGGAATACAAGACTAACTAATGGTGATTCATTTAAACGTAATTTAATTTTGTATTCAGAAAGTAAGGGTGTAATTTACTGTATCCCATGCTTGTTGTTTGGAAACCTAAATTCACCTTCATTTGCTTCAAAAGGATTTTCAAACTGGAAAAGAGCCGACGAGCTCATATCACAACATGAAAATTCCTTAAAACATCGTTCAAATATTCTAGCAATGAAAAACCGAGGACAAATACTTCAAAGAATTGATCAACAAATAATACAACAAATTGAAAATGAACGTATGTACTGGATCAATGTTTTAAAAAGAGTAGTGGCAATTGTTAAAACATTGGCATCAAGAGGTTTAGCATTCAGAGGACATACTTCAAAAATTGGATGTCCACATAATGGAAACTTTATGATGGCACTTGAGTTATTAGCTGAATTTGACCCTTTTATCTCAAACCATATTTCCACAAACGGTAATCCTGGTAAAGGTCATACCTCATATTTATCATATTATATTTATGAGCAGTTTATTTTATTAATGTCTAAAAAAGTAGAAAATACTATTATTCAGGATGTCAATACTTCACGATATTTTTCAATAAGTGTTGATTCAACACCTGATATTACCCACACTGATCAACTTTCTTTAGTTGTACGATATATTGATGAAAGTGGAAATGTATTTGAGCGTTTTTTATGTTTTATGAATAATGTTGGACACAAAGCAGAAAATATGGCTGAAGCAGTGATAACAATTCTGAATAAGTACAATTTGAATCTTAACTATTTAAGGGGGCAGTCATACGACAATGCGAGTAACATGTCAGGTAGTTACTCTGGATTACAAGCTAGAATAAAACTGATAAATCCATTGGCCAAGTTTGTTCCCTGCTCGGCTCATTCATTAAATTTAGTGGGACAAAATGCGGCCAGCTGTTGTAGAGAAGCTATTCATTTTTTTAACTTTCTTCAAAACTTGTACACATTCTTTTCGGCATCAACTTACCGTTGGCAGATTTTAAATTCTTCAATCAAGAGAATGTCAGATACAAGGTGGTCTGCAAGAGATGATGCGTGTCATTCATTGAATAAAAATTGGTTTTCTATTGAAAATGCTTTAATTAAGATTGGAGGAAATGAAAAAGAAAAACCAGCTATTCGATGTGAAGCAAATGGCATACTCAAAATACTTAAATCTTTAGAGACATCCTTCTTATCAATTTTTTGGGGAGACATATTACATAGGTTTAATATAGTTAGCAAAAAACTTCAAAGTGTAAATATTGATTTAAGTGTTGTTGTTGAGCTTTATCAATCACTAATTAACTATGTTGGTGATATTCGTACAGATAAAGACTATTCGAATTTTAAAAATACTGCTATTGATAAATGTGGTATTATGAACTTCAGAACAACTGCAAAACGACAAAAAAAAATTAAAAAATGTAGTGATGACAGTTCAACAGAAAACATTGTCACTGATTTTAAAATAAATACATATTTTGTAATTTTAGATCAATTGAAGTCAGAATTGTTGAGAAGAAAAATTGCATATGACAGCCTTTTAAAAAATTATTCCTTTTTTTTAAATTAACTGAATTGACAGCAGCAGACATTAGGATATCTGCTGATATTTTAAGAAATGAATATAATACAGATTTGGGAACTTCATTTTCCAATGAATGTATTCATTTTGGCAGCTACATAAAAACAATTTCCAATCCTCCACAGAGTATACAAGATATGTTAATATTTATAAGGAAAAATGAGCTCAAGGATATCTTTCCTTATGTGGATATTGCTTTGCGAATGTTGTTATGCACTCCAGTTAGCAACTGTTCAACCGAGAGATCTTTTTCAGTCCTAAAACGTATAAAATCATACTTAAGGTCAAGCATAGGAGAAGAAAGGTTATCTGCATTAGCAATTATGAATATAGAGGCTGATATCACTACAACAATAAGCTATGATAATATTATTCAAGAATTTGCACAAGACCGTGCACGTCGAAAAATATAAATAAATATTTTTAAATATTGTTTGTTAATTGTTGAAGTTTATAAATAATTATTTTAAATATATTTATTATCTACAAAAAATATTAAATGTATATTTCTTGTGGGGGGGGGGGGGGGGGGGCGCTAGAAAAATGTTGCCCCAGGGCGCTTAATGTATAAATACGCCACTGACCTCCCCTGGACTCGTTTTTGAAAAAGTAAGGCCGCGCGCCGGCTATAAATTTAGCGGGGAACTCGAATACGTCGCCGACGGGGAGGTCGGGAGACTCGTAGAGGTGCCAAACGCGACTCTAGTCGATAAAGTTCGAGAAAACCGTCGAAACGGCGAAGACGCGGCGCTCTCGGCGATCGATTCGTCCGCCGGGATACTCGTTTTTGAAAAAATAGGGCCGCGCGCCGACTATAAATTTAGGGGGGAACGCGAATGAGATCCAAATGGGGAGGTCGATACGCCCTAAAACGCCTAAAACTCGAATTTTCGAAAAAAACGGCAAAAAACGCGCGTCGACGGCGGCGCTCGGTTCGCACGCGATATCGGCCGCGGCGGGCCCGCCGGGAAAAGAGTACGGCGTACTCGTAATAGTAAATCTAGCGGGGAACGCGAATAAGGTCCGAACGGGACCGCCCGAGGCCCCCGGGCGGGGTAAAACTCGAAAAATTTGAAAAAAAATCGTGAATTTCGAGAAAAATCGTGAAAAGCGATAAGGAGGAGTATGATAACGCAGCGACGGCTCCCCCGCCGCCGGGAGACCGCCCTCCGGGGAAATTGAATTTTCTCATTGGCTCTCTCTTACGATGGTTCGGATTTAACGCATAGGGGGCGCCCTCGGGTTCACGCTTTATATAGTATAGACTAGCTCTCCGAGCGTCGCTGGGGGACACCCCCAGACCCCCGTGAGCGGACCCCGAGTGTTGTCGATTTCGGAAGCAGCGGTGATCTCGTGGTGTGGTCGTGGATCTCAGCCGACGCGGTGTATGGGTGATGTGGAGATCTGGTGATAAGGACATTGGATTTGCGGTGGTCTCGGCGTGGTGCGGACTTGCGGTCTCGATAGATAAGGATGTGTGATAAGGCTAGGACCACTGCGGTTCGACGTGGTAGCCAGGGCATAGTCTTTGACAGAGTCTTTTCGACGACGCCGCCGGAAATTCGAAATTTGATAAAAAAAATTATATACTAATTTTTGTGGGTGTCTAGCAGTTCGGTCACCTAGAGTGACGTTCGCCGTAGTAATACTGGTAGGCTATCCGACTTCGTGCGACGGCCGAGTTTTATAGCCGCCTTTTTGTGGGGGTGTCTAGCAGGTCAGTCGCCTCCCTCGACGTCACTGCACATAGGACGTGAATCATAACGCAGAACCTACACACGATTACGAAAATCTAATATAGTAAAATGTAATATAAAAAATAATGTAGTAGTCGTATTTTTGTGGGTTTCTAGCAGTTCGAAAACCTAGAATGACGTTCGCCGTAGTAATAGTGTTTGGGGTCTAGCGGGTCGGTCACGTTCTTCGACTTTGGTCGTAGTCACCCTGGAAGGCAATCCGACAATATTCGACGGCTGGGGCACGTCATCACGTATGCAATCCGAACTCTGGCGCAAAATCAAGTAATAGGTCACGTGCAAAAAAAATGGTATTAGTCTTGGTGTCTAGCAGGTCAGTCACCTTCCTCGACGTTGGACGTAGTAACCCTGGTAGGCAATCTTACTCCGTCGGATAGTGCGACGTCCGGGTCAAGGCATAAAAACGCCAAATTACGTAAATCAAAAATATATGAATAATAACATTTCGGGCGCCCGTGCTAGTCGTAAATTGTAATTTATTCGCCGTGATTTGTCGAGTGTCTAGCAAGTCGGGCGGCCACGTGTAATAGTTTTTGTCGTTTATAGTAGTAGAGCGATTTAGAATCGAAACTCGGTCAGCTGATTGGGATTTCGTTTCCCCATGGTCTTCCGAAAAACACGGAAACGTTTCCCCGCACCGACATTATGTCAGACCCAATGTCTCTCGTATCACATAATAGGCGGGAATTAGTTATCCGCTGATACCGCCGAGTGGATAGACGATAAACGGTCGGTGATAAGGCCTACAGGTTTGGCGGTATTCTGTCGAAGGCGGGAATGTTTGAAAACCATTTTTGCGTGTGTATCAATAAAATCGAGTGATGGCCCTAAGGCATTATTATGAACATATGAAAAAATTTTGCAAAAAAGAAATAATAACGATGGCCAAAAGTGTAAGGTTTAATGCCGTGTTCGAATGAATGAATAATATAAAACTATAAGATAATTAATTTGTCAATACAATAAATTAATTAATCGGCCGTGCGATATCGTTACCCGCATGGGTTACCTGCCTTGACTCTTGTGATTGTCGCCGTTCTAAGACCAAGCACTGCGCCGACGTCCGACTTTAAAATCATTTCATTCCAACTTTCTCAACCAGAAACACGTGAGTATACATTGTATTATAAATTTAATTGGTGGCTTTTTAAAAACCTTTTTTACACCGCAGATCGTAGGTAATTTATCAATTAATATAATGTAACACATGCTTTCCGATTAACGAATTTAATATTTTATTTTAGTTTTAATTTAATATTTAATAATACCGACAGATCACTTAAAGTTTCGTTTTCCTATACACTTTCTTTATTGCTTTTTATTCATCAACTTTAGAATGATTAACAATGCATAGAACATTAAAGGTAATAGGCGCAAGTGTACATTAGGAGCTTGTTTTTTAACACGTTTAACGCGGATCGTATAATATTAGGCTAGTATTTTGCGCAACACGTGATTTTTGTCAAAGGAATTTATTGCTTTGTTTTACCATCCATTTTTTTTTTATTTCTTTTCATTTATTAACTTTAAAATATGTACAATAACATTAGCTTGTTTTCGACACATCCAACGCGGATCGTATTTATGAATGAATATTTAAACTTAGAGGGCTTACTTTTTTGTAAGCACCTGCCCACGCTTATTCCGGCAAAGTACCTAGTTAGACGCTTATACTATGTGTACGCACAGGTCTGAGAGAAAAAAACAAATAATATATCGAGCTGACATCCGCTGAATGTTTCGTCTTTTCTATTTTTTCTTTATTGCTTTTTATTTGTCAACTTCAGAATGAGTAACAACGTATAAAACATTAGCGACAATTGCCAAGCGTAGGTACACGAGGGCCTTGTTTTTTTAACACGTTCAACGCGGATCGTATATATCAATTAATAAATTATCATAATAATATAAAAGTTTTACTATACACTTTCTTTATTTCTTTAGAATGAGTATAATAAGATACACTGGATTGTTTTTTTAACACGTCCAACGCGGATCGTATTTATGAATTATTAATAGCTTATTATAATAAAATATAAATTTGCGACGAAAATCGTGCCTTAGTTTTGTCTGCAACACATGGTTTCTGTGAAACAAATTAAATATTTTTTCAATTTTAGTTTTTGTTTTTAACACGTTCACCTCCGATCGCATTAATCAAATAATATTGTTATACCATATAGGTACATTTGCGAAGAAAACCGTGGCTTAGTTTGAGTGTGCACCACATGCTTTTGGTTTAACGAATTTAATATTTTATAATATCACCAACCTAATAATGCAGACCAATCAATTGTCTTTTTCAACTTACTTAAATTACTTTTATTTATAAACTTTAGAATGAGTCAAAATATTTATAAAAATATCCAAAACTGCCAGTTCTACATGGGCCAAAGCCCAAAAGGAAACCGCGCCCGACGTAAGCATACATTTGGTTATATATTGTATAAAATTAGAAACGATTAAAATAATATCTACCCGTTTCAGAATGTTACAATTGCGGAAGAGAGGGTCACCTCTCCCGGGATTGCGGTGAGTGTTTACTTTACATATTCCTTAATAACAGTTTTATTATTATATTGTATACAATTGTAATTTATATTGTAGCTAAGCCCAGGGGTGTAGGTGGTAGTGGGGGCGGCGGCAGAAGGCGTCGGGGAGGTGGTGTTGGCAGAGGCAGGGGCGGTGGCGTCGCTGGCGGCGGCGGCGGCAGTGGTAGTGGTCATGATGGTGTTAGGCGGCGGGGAGGTGGCAGAGGAGATGACCATCCAACGCCCCTCTCCAGATCCCGCTCACAAGCATCACGGCCATCATCAAACGTAAGGATTCATTAATATTTTTAAAAAAAAATCCAATTACATTTCTATGTAAGTCTAACTAAAGAATAATTTTCAGGAGGTCCGTCGGCAGCGACAGCGCGACGATCGTCGTGATGGTGGAAGGCGGCTGGGAGGTGGCAGAGGCGATGACTATCGAAGGCCCCTCTCCAGATCCCGCTCCCAGCATCACGAGCGACGTCAAGCGTAAGGATTTATTAATATTTTTAAAAATAAATCCAATTACATTTCTATGTAAATCTAATTAAACGAATAATTTTCAGGTGGTCCCTCGTCGACGGTCCTCGAGGCCAGCGTCGCCACCGTCCAGCGTTGTAAGTATATTATATTAGTAAACAATTAAAAAAAATATTCAAGTTTTCGAAATTGATAAATCTAATTAAACAAATTATTTTCAGGAGCTCAACGTTGAGAGCACCGGCTCGCCACCACCAAACGCTGTAAGGATCTATTTATATATTTAAGTTTTCGAAATTGATAAATGTAACTAAACGAATGATTTTCAGGAGATCCGTCGGCATCGACAAAGCGACGATCGTCGTGATGGGGGAAGGCGGCTGGGAGGAGGCAGAGGCGATGTCGATCGAAGGCCCCTCTCCAGATCCCGCTCCCCAGCATCACGAGCGACGTCAAGCGTAAGGATTTATTAATATTTTTAAAAATAAATCCAATTACATTTCTATGTAAATCTAATTAAACGAATAATTGTCAGGTGGTCCCTCGTCGACGGTCCCCGAGCCCCGCTTCGCCACCGTCCAGCGTTGTAAGTATATTATATTAGTGAAAAATTTAAAAAAATATTCAAGTTTTCGAAAATGA